GTCATCCAGAGGAAACAGGTGGGGCTGCTTCGGAAGTCTTGGGTGGACCAAATCTGCATAGGCCTCTAGGAAGCACTTGACTGGCTTCCTGGACTCAGGAGGACTGGTGGGCCAGTATCTCCAAACACTGGGGCCTCCAATGTCCTTGAAGACTCTATGGGTTCAGGGGAAACTGTCAGGGCTGGTTTCTGAGGCCCCGGCTTGCAGCTGCACAAGGACATCAAGGCTCAAGAGAAATAGCCCAAAATGCTCCTGGGACATGAGTATGGGCGGGGNTGATGGCAGTCTTGCCAAAAGGACCTTTTCCAGGGATTGAGTGTAAGAGCAGGGAGACTAGGCAAGACTATATGGTCTGTTGAAACAATAAGATAAATTTTGGAGATTCTAGAATTTCAATAGATTTGTCTTTCAATTTAGGATAACCAATAAGGACAGAGTTGGTGATTTACAGCAGGCTTTCTCAAATTTAATATACCTTCAAACCCTCTGGAGTTCTTGTTAAAACACAAATTCTGATCCAGTAGTTCTAGGGTGGAGCAGAGATTCTGCATTTCTAACAAGCTCCTGGGTGATGCTGATGCTGCCAGGCTAGGAATTACTTTTGGGGGGCTTCCCTGGTGGCTCAGACGGTAAAGAATCTGCCTGCAGTGTGGGCAAACTGGGTTCGATCCTGGGTCGGGAAGATCCCTTGGAGAAGGAACTGGCAACCCACTTCAGTATTGTTGCCTGGAGAAACCCACAGACAGAGGAGCCTGGTGGGCTACAGTCCATAGGGTCACACAGAGTCGGATGTGACTGAGCAACTAGCGCGCGCACACACACACACACACACACACATTCACACACGCACACACACACACACACACACACAGCAAAGACTTAGAAGACCTGACCACATTTCAGTGTCATAGAGAGATTAAGTACAAAGGTATTGATATCAAGACTATTTGGGGAGTTTCAGGGAAGAGAGCAGGTGTCTGAGGTCAAACAAGGGAACATTTCTGACCATCAGGGAGATTGAAAGTGATGGAGTCCTAAAGTTAGGGAAGATTAGGAGAGACTGCTTCATCACTAGGCCCTGGGTTCCCAGGACTGTGTTTCTGCCAGAGTGTTAGCTCTAGTGAGAACCTAACAGGTTTTCTGGCTCAGTCCTGCATGATTGAGAAATGAGAAAAGAGTTATCCAGGGTTACACAGCCATTTAGTGGCTGAACCTTGATGGATCTTGTTTGCAGGTCCTCTTGATGATGTAAAACAATGAAAATATTTAAGCAAAGGTATTTCAGGACAGTTCTCTGGTGGAGAATGAAAAGACCCCATAAAATTAATAATTTAGGAGACTACTTAGAGGCTTTTATTCTAGGACAAGCAAGAGATGAGCAGAGTCTGAGCTATAACTTTGTAAATAGAAAGGGGCAAAAAAAATTGAGAGATATGTAAAAGAGAATAAATAGGATTTAGAGTTTGATTTTTTTTTTTTTTTTTGGTAGAGGTTGAGTGAAGAGGAGGAATCAAGGATGATCTCCAGTATGTGTGGTTAGGCAAAAGGTAAATAAATCATGAATGCTCCCTGTCTTCTGCCCAAGTAAAAAGTAGAGGAAAAGAAGGGACCTGGGCAAGGGGATGAACAAGGAGACAGTTGAGTGTGAACAAGGAGACAGTTGAGTGTGAACAAGGAGACAGTTGAGTGTGAACAAGGAGACAGTTGAGTGTGAACAAGGGAGACAAGGACCATCAGGAGACATTCATCCTAGTCAGATAGATCGAATTGGCTGAGCTCCTAATGTTTGTGTTCATCATCTCCAGTACTGTTGGGTCATCTACAAAGCAACAAATGTTCCTGCTAACTCTCCAGTTTGCAAATTGAATGGCACCCTCTCAGAGAGACCTTCCCTGACTACTCAAGTTGTTCCCCTACCCTATACTGATTCCCTATCACTGCGTCTGCCATCTTCCTTCCCAGCAGTTACCACGTTTGGATATTTGTGTTTACCAGTTTGCATTCTGATTTATTATCTGACTCCCTACTAGTCATTAGGTTCTTTTAGGTCCAGAATTATATTTTGTTTCCCGCTATATATCTAGCAGAGTGAGTATCAAACAGGACACTCCTATAATATTTGTGGAGTTAATCAAAGAATGTGTGGTACAGCTGAAGAACCTGGAGATGTTTATTTTAGAAAGAAACTATTCAAATGACCGAATATCTTATTCTATTCCTTGAAGTTGCACAGAACAACTCTATTTCCACTTTTTAAAATTTTTAAAAGCTTGCACTGTGTGGCTACCAGGACAGATTTAGGAAGCCACAGGAAATGGATCACATCTACATTGCTCCACAGCTGTCTCTTCCTGATGGGCTCAAAAAGGCCTGGGAGGTCATCACAGGAGTTTTCCAAGTGGAAAGGGGACCCTGAGTGTGGTGTGTGGGAGTGGGGTAACTTTACACAATGGATTGGACGTTAAACTATATGACCTCTGGGCCCCTTTTTAAACCTAAGACCCCATGATGCCATATTCTTCAATCAAACCCCTGGGCTTAATAGATGCAGTCTGCTTTGATTTCTTTTCTCTTTTGGAACTTTGGAGGGAAAAATGTATTTGCTTTTATCAATTTTTGATTAGGTAGATTTTAGACAAGACTGGGTGTGTTCAAGGTGATATGGCCATAGAAAAACTGGGTAGATTTTAAAGGTCAGGGTACTTAATTTTTTTAGCTCTAAATTGCAAAGGAATCCCTGGCCAACTGTCTAGACTTGCTGACTGATTGGCAATGTGAGGTCAATAAATTCTCTCTCACCTAAAGAGTTCTAAAAAGTGATCCTATGAGTCAGTGGCCAGACTTGGTATGCTGGTCAGCATTTCTCAGTGTGGTAAGATTTCATTAGTGCTCAAGGAAAACTCAACTTTTTGATTTAATACTATCTTGATCAGTGGTAGAAAAATTAAAATAGTCATCATTCTTTAAGGTTGAGATTTGGTTTCAGTTGTCATTCTGTAGAGGAAGAGTTAATCATCAGTGTCTGTAGCCCTGTGGTTCTCAGTGAGGGATGGATAGACCTGTCCATCTAGGACATCCTTTTATTTTAGAAACTAAAGAGAGATTTTAAACATACCTGCCCAATGCATTTTTCTAGACAAGGAAATTGTGATGGAAAATCTATTTAGCTTCAGTTTAGTTCAGTTCAGTCATTCAGTCATGTCCAACTCTTTGCAACCCCATGGACTGCAGCACACTAGTTTTCCCTGTCTATCACCAATTCCTGGAGCTTACTCAAACTCATGTCCATCAAGTCAGTGATGCTATCCAACCATCTCATCCTCTGTTGTCCCCTTCTCCTCCCGCCTTCAATCTTTCCCAGCATCAGGGTCTTTTCAATTGAGTCAGTTCTTCGCATCAGGTGGCCAAAGTATTGGAGTTTCAGCTTCAACATCAGTCCTTTAAATGAACATTCAGGATTGATTTCCTTTAGGATGGACTGGTTGGATCTCCTTGCAGTCCAAGGGACTCTCAAGAGTCTTCTCCAACACCACTAGGATTGATTTCCTTTAGGATGGACTGGTTGGAGCTCCTTGCAGTCCAAGGGACTCTCAAGAGTCTTCTCCAACACCACAGTACAAAAGCATCAGTTCTTCGGCACTCAGCTTTCTTTATAGTCCAGCTCTCATATCCATACATGACTACTGGAAAAACCATAGCTTTGACTAGACAGACCTTTGTTGGCAAAGTAATGTCTCTGCTTTTTACTATGCTGTCTAGGTTGGTCATAGCTTTTCTTCCAAGGGACAAGTGTCTTTTAATTTCATGGCTGCAGTCACCATCTGCAGTGATTGTGGAGCCCTAAAAAATAAAATCTGCCACTGTTTCCATTGTTTCCCCATCTATTTGCCATGAAGTGATGGGACCGGATGCCATGATCTTAGTTTTCTGAATGTTGAGCTTTAAACCAGCTTTTTCTCTCTTCTCCTCTTTCACTTTCATCAAGAGGCTCTTTAGTTCTTCTTCACTTTCTGCCATAAGGGTGGTGTCATCTGCATATCTGAGGTTACTGATATTTCTCCTGGAAATCTTGATTCCAGCTTGTGCTTCATCCAGCCCGACATTTCTCATGGTGTACTCTGCATATAAGTTAAATAAGCAGGGTGACAATATACAGCCTTGACGTACTCCTTTCCCAATTTGGAACCAGCCTGTTGTTACATGTCCAGTTCTAACTGTTGCTTCTTGAACTGCAAACAGATTTCTCAGGAGGCAGGTGAGGTGGTCTGGTATTCCCATCTCTTGAAGAATTTTCCACAGTTTGTTGTGATCCACACAGTCAAAGGTTTGGTGTACTTAGCTTTCTATTGTCATAAACCTACCAATTTCCAGACCAGCTCCTCTCCCCTGACAAATTTAATCCTAGTTGGAATGGGGTTGTAGGGCTAAAACTTGGAGAAGTTTGAATAACTATGTGCCATCAGTAATTTATTCCATGTACACCACACCCCCCCCCCCAAACTCATGGACCCTCAAGTATCTATTTTAACAATTCTCTATCTAGGAAGTCTTCCATTCCCTACTTCCTCCACATTCTCCACCTCAAATTAGATTAGATACTGTTGCTGTGTACTTCCATAGAACTTTGTGCTTCCCCATCACACTGAATTGTAATTTCTTTTAAAATCATCTATCTTCCCATCTAAACTATAAATTCTGTGAGTATGTAGATGATATCTGTCTTATTTTCATTGAATTTTTACTTAAGACTCTGTATATGCCTGTCACGTGGAAGTTGCTTAATACATATTTGATAAATAGATGAGTGGATGGATGGATGGGTAGATGGATGGATAGATAGAAGGACTACTATATCTCCACTATAGTCAGATGCTTTGGTCACTCTTAAAATTAGAATGGGTTCCTTTGTTTTCAAATGAGTAGAACAGTGTTCCCTTTTCAAAAAGTAATTATGAACATTAGGCTAGTCAAGAGTCCAAGTAGTTTAGAAATACTCTTACCTGGGGCATAGTCCCTTCGAGGAACACTTGGAGGTGCTTTGACTTTCAGCCTGTAGATAACAGATTAGACAGATGGTCAGTGAGTAGGACAACTATTGTCAAGGCCCATAATATAAACAGGTTTAGAGATAATGGGTAGATAACTAACAGAATAATGGTTTCTTTTGAACTCATCACTGAAAAACTAAATGTACTGTAAATGTAGTGAAGCCATTAGTCAGCATTTTCCGGCCTCTACCCCTCCCCCGAGGGCACAGTGTGGCTGTGACTGGGCAAAAGTGAGGTCGGGGGGTGGAAGGGCTCTGAGAGGTCAGAACACTCGTAAGCCGAGAGATCAGAGATTCAAAGACAATAAATGTTGATTGTTTGATAAGAAGGTAAGAGAAGATGAACTCTAATCAGCTAAAATGCTGAACTAAAATGTCGTAGGTTGGGATGGAATTGTTTTTTGAACTATTGAAAAAAAATGCCAAATAAGTGAGCAGTGAGTGTCTCCATGTTGAGGATTGTGATGTTTAGATAAAAGTTGAATTGTTTCAAGCACTCTCAAAACTACTATATTTATGCATATATAAAATGTTCTGAATATTCACAAAGCTTTCCCATTCATTAAAAGGAAAAAACTAAAATTACATTTCAAAATGTATCCCAGTATTTAGACTGTTTACAACTTTTGACAACACTTTCCCTTCCATTATTTGAAATGTGTCAGGTTTATAGTAAATTATTATTTTTAATAATAGTTAGCATGTTATGTAAGAATGCTTTGCTTAGTGAAATTTAGACATATATAAATAAAACCTATATAAAACCCAGTAGCCTTCATTTACTAAAACATCACATCTGTTTACATAAGCCATGTATAAGCTAACCACTGGGGCTTCCTAGATGAAGCTAGTGGTAAAGAACTCGCCTACCAATGCAGGAGACACAAGAGACACAGGTTCAATCCCTGGTTGAGAAGATCCCCTGGAGGAAGGTGTGACAACCCACTCCAGTAGTCTTGCCTGAAGAATCCCATGGACAGAGGAGCCTGGAGGGATGCAGTCAGTGGGGTCGCAAAGAGTCGGACACCACTGAAGTGACTTAGAGCACACACGCACACACACACACACATACACACACACACACACAAGGTAACCATTACATACAAAAATATTTCATTTTTGGGAAAAAAGTTGGTACAGAAAATCATGCTTGATTACAAAAAAAAAAAAAAGGCTGATAAACCAGAACTGTAATGTTGCAAAAATAAGATTAATTATATTTGCCTAGAAATTTTTTTTGTTTCCTAAAGACTCTCCTAGCTATTGTTTCACTCAGTTCTCAGCAAACCAATAGGGCATGCTAGGAAGACATTGTCATTAGACCCAGGATGAGGTCCAGAGAGAGAGACTGTCTATTGTAGTGAAGGGAAGAAAAATAAAAACAAAACTGGATCTGGTGCCAGGTCTGTTCATTGAACAGTAAGATTTCAAAAAGCACAAACCAGCTATTATATGTTATTGCCGTCCTTTCAAAAAAAGAAAAGAAAGGATATTTTAATACCCCCAAAAGTGTGAGGTCATCATCTCAGAATAAAGGAGCAATTCAAGAGAGGACCTTGATCACTGAACACCAACCAGAGATAAAAGGTGTCGTTTGGGCCTCGTTTAGCAGCCAGCAGCTGCACGCCAACCCTCAGCTCTTCACAGGCCTTTTCTCATTCAGCCATGAACTGGTGACAACTCTGTCATGCTCTCGTGTTAGGAAACCAGTGTGATCAACTGTGCTTCCTCCTTTGAAGGTGGCACCTGTGGCTTGGTTTTGAGCCAGAGCCTGAGTTCGGAGCACTTCGACCCAAAAGAGCCATTGACTTCACCAGGGTGATGACTGGGGCAGTCATATTTTCCAAGCAGAGAAGAAAACAGTTTGTCAAGTATTAGGGGATGGTGGGCAGAATGAAATAGAAATTATGTGGGAAAATTTGAGCTGCATGGCTGCTGTAAATGGAATAAGGAGACATTTTATACAAAGACTTCATATTATTGAAAGAATTGGTATATTGTAAAATTGGCAGTTGTGAGATAATTAATCTAGAATTGCTAGTGATGAAAACAATGACTGGCAGGGTTCTCTCATTTCAATGAGATTCTATATGTATTAGAAATAAGAAATGAAAATAGTCACATACACATCTCCCAGTCATAGGACAGACCATGAAGACAGGTTCTTCTCCTGTAGGAGATGACCACTGTCCCTCAAGCAGAAGATCATTTTAACTCTTTTATGATGACCAGTTACACAGATTGAAACTCATTTATATTGTATAGCCTAAAAACACCATGAAAAGTGATTTATTACTCTTAAGTTTAGCAAAGGCCAAAAAAGAAAAAAAAAGATACTCTGCTCTGAAGCCACAAGGAAATGAACTTTTATCCACTGTTAGTAGTACCTGCAATTCAGGAGACCTAAGTTGGGAAGTTCGATTCCTAAGTTGGGAAGATCCCTTAGAGAAGGAAGTGGCAACCCACTCCAGTATTCTTGCTTAGAGAACCACGTGGACATAGGCGCCTGGCAGGCTACAGTCCATGAGGTTGCAAGAGTCAGGCACGACTTAATGACTAAACCACCACCAACCAGTAGTACAGAATTTGGCAGCAGCAATTTGGTAATACCAACCAAAATCTGAAGGGCACAAATCCTGTCCAGAAGCTATAAATTTCACTTCAGGAATTCAGTTTTCTGGCATACTCATAAGTCTGCAGAGAGTATTTATTGAAGTATTATTTGTGACAGGTAAACTAAAAAAAATGGCCATAAAGCTTTCATAGATGTTATCAAATTATCTTCCAAAATGTACATTTAAACTCCTACTCCTACTTCAAAGAAGCCCACCAGGATATAGCTGGTTAAACAAATGATAATATATTTATAGTAGACTATTAATTATCTGTTTAGAAGGTTTATGGTTATTTTTATGTACTAACAAAGAAAAATGCCCACTATACAGCATTAATTAAAACCAAGAAACAAAGCAATTTGGTAGAATGTGTGTGTGGCATGATGCCACTCATGATGAAACTGTGTGCAGGTATGTAATGTATATTTAGGGACTACAGCTATGCCAATGTGTGTATGTGTGTGTGTAAACATACGCAAACCGATATTTATACCAAACTCACTCCTGTTGTGTCCATTTCTGGGGAGCAGGTTAGGGTGGGAATAGGAGAAGATGAGAGATTTTTATTTCATGCAATTCTGAACTCTTTGATTTTTGTCTCTAGTGAATCTGTATTACTTTCATAAAAACAAAAAAGCTTTAAACAAAAACTTAACAGAATACCATTTCCCCTTTCCTCTTGAGTTAAATTTCGAGTGCCAAATTCAGGTATGCGTAATATACAATTTCTATTCTCTGCAAAAACAAAAACAAAACTTTAGAGGTGTGTGTCTGTGTGTGTGTATGTGTAGGAAGATTTGGAATTCTAACTTTCCTTCTCCAAGTGTCAATTGAAAACACCATTTCAAGGTCATAATTGAAAAAGCAGTAATCAAAATATGGAAAACAGTTACGGTGTCCTAAAGAAATCAGGCTGTGTTCTTGCAATTTCTCTTTTGAATTTCTACAAAACAGAAACGCATCCAAGTGGTCCTTAGCTAAGTGGTCAAAGAAGCTGATTGTCTGGCTTCTATAAATGTCTCTTTTGATGTTTGCCAAGCACCTTGAACGGCATAACTCAGCTGTCCAGGAGTGAGAGAGAAAAGCAAGGTGCCTGAGTACCAACCACTCATTCACCATGTTTCCTGAATGTGGGTCTGACCACCATGACTCTAGCCATGAGTAAGAAAGTGTCACATGCTAGAGAGGTTGCCATTCCTCACTCGGGTAACAGGGAACTTTGTTTTCTTCCACTTACTGCAGGCTGGCATAAGATGTTATTTACATAAGTGCTCACACAGTGCTATGGCATCTGACTTACTTTTTGTGTGTGTGTGTGTGAACATGATTTATTTGGTATCCACAAAGGGTGGAGTAAAGGTCGCAGTTTCCATTCCCTTTGATTTCTGTTCTCCAAGAAGTGTGGTCAAATTCAGCCCAGTGTATATTCTGATCCCTGGGAGCCATGAAGGAAATCAGAGTTCACACAGGACCAGAACAAAAGCTCTGGTCAGCTGGGGGTTGTTACCAGGTTTTTATTCGAAATATTCCTCCTTTCTATCCTTTTGTGATTACTGATTCAAATGAATTCTTTTTAATGGCTGAGTAATATTCCATGGTGTATATGTACCACAGCTTCCTTATCCATTCGTCTGCTGATGGGCATCTGACTTACTTTTTGATCTTGTTCATTATTCCACCTTCATTGTTCTTGATATCATGGACCATTTTTTGAAGTTGCCTGTATGAAATGAAATGAAACATAAAATATTAATAACTATGTTGATTTTTAAGTCTTCTATCCTTCTTGAGTACAAGAAAAAAAGCTCTACAATAAACCCCCAAATATCATGAATTATATTATATTCAATTAAGCTGGCCATTTACTACTTGAGCAGAGGGAAGGTATGACTGAGTCTATAATGAGTGTGGTCATCAGGCCATGCACCGACCCACTGACATCTGGGTCGGGCTCGGGCTCTGGGAGAAATTCTGACTCCCAGATATGTCTGTTCTGAGGAGTCATAAGCTATCAGAAGCCTCACTAGTTATCACTTACTGTCCTCAGACCATACAAGGATGGAGCTACCTTGAAGAATACAGTATAGACAGAAATCAGGCTTAAGATTTTTTGTGAGGAGGTTAACTTTACTAGATAGAATCTGGAAAAACTGTCACTCAAAAGTTGTACATACACAGAAGTCATAAAGAAACAGATGAATGAATCTGGTTGCATAAATATTTGAAACTTCTGCAGAGCAAAAAGTAATGTGCACAAAATCAAAAGATAAATACATGCTGGAAGAAACATTTGCAGTACATATAAGAAGAAGAACTACATGTTTTGATTAACAAAGCATCTTACAGCTCCGTACAAAAAAAATGTTTAACAATTCAATAGAAAAATGAGCAAAATCTATGAACACAGAGCTAACAGAAAAAAAAAATACAAGTGACCAACAGATCAATGAAAAGTTATTTAATATCACTTATATTTAAAGAAATCTAAATGGAAACAATAAGGTATAATATTCTGATTATCAGACTGGCAAAACTTAATAAGTATAATAATCCCGAGGGTTGGCAAGTATATGAGAATACAGGTATTCTTGGGAATATAAATTAGTACAATCAATATCTGTCAAAATGTAAAACCACCTTGCCTTTTGACCTGGAAGTTCCACTGCTAGGAATTTACTTTATGAACATAGTCATAAACTATACAAACATACATATCAGAATGTTTATTCCAGATAGGTGTAATAACTCTAATCCTTTCTGCCTCTCCCACCAAAAACACCTGGAAACAACCTAAATGCTCATTTATTATTAAAAGGGAACTTCTTAAATACACATTGATAAAGCCATAAATGGAATACCACAGACCATAAAAAAATACATCTCTATTCAGTTCAGTTCAGTTCAGTCGCTCAGTTGTGTCCGACTCTTTGCGACCCCATGAATCGCAGCACGCCAGGCCTCCCTGTCCATCACCAACTCCCGGAGTTTACTCAGACTCATGTCCATCGAGTCGGTGATGCCATCCAGCTATCTCATCCTCTGTCATCCCCTTCTCCTCCTGTCCCCAGTCCCTCCCAGCATCAGGGTCTTTTCCAGTGAGTCAACTCTTTGCATGAGGTGGCCAAAGTACTGGAGTTTCAGCCTCAGCATCAGATTGCTAATATATTAAAAAAAAAATCTTGGGATATTATTAAGTTAAATGAAAATGGAGGATGAGAAGAAAGAAAAGAAAGAAGGAAAATTCAGAATATGCATGTATGTTTTTTGTAGGAAAAAAAAGATGTATATACATGTGTGCTGGTATGTGCATACCTTTTTAGAATGATATGCAAAAAATTGTTACATGGTTATTTTCAAGGCCAATGTAGTTAGAAAAATTTATGAATTAGAAAAAAGGTCAGAGTATAGGACCATGTTTTGTTTTCTTCATAATGACTTTCTAATTTAAAATACATCTAAATAAAATTTCACATGGTTCTGCTTGAAAGAGTAACATATATAAATTTACCTTTCAGGCAAGGCTTTCCTTTGTTCTGAGAAAACAGTTTCATTGGGCATTTTAGTTAATGAAATATAAAGCTTGTATATGGGGCTTCTGATGTGGCACTAGTGGTAAAGAAATCTGCCTGTCAGTGCAGGAGATGCAAGAGGCTCCCGTCCGATCCCTGGATTGGGAGATCCCCTGGAGTAGGAAGTGGCAACCACTCCAGTATTCTTGCCTGGAAAATACCATGAAAAGAGGAGCCTGGTTGTCTACAGTTTATGGAGCAGCAAAGAATTGGACATGACTGAGCACACAAAAAACTTGTATATAGCCATTGTTCTAGGAGGAAATGGAGTTTTTCCATTAAAAAAAATGCAGATTTCTCTCACTCTGGAAGTTCGGCTCTCTATTAGCTATTATGAAGAGTGATACACAGTTAAGCTTAGCATAGGCATACAAAACCCTGTTGATAAGAACTGGAATCTGGGAGAAATATTCTCTTGGGCTATGTATGGATTTACAATGTATATGCTACAAAGCTTTTTGGTGTAGGGATGGAGCAGTTGAGAGGATGAGAGGACAGCTTGTCAGAGGAACTCTGCCTGGCCTGACCTGTTGGCGTCCCCCACTAAGTGTTAATTTCAGGCTGAAATTAACCTAGGTTTTTCCAGTAGTCCTGTACAGATGTGAGAGTTGGACCATAAAGAAGATTGAGCACTGAAGAACTGATGCTTTTGAATTGTAGTGCTGGAGAAGACTCTTGAGAGTCCCTTGGATCAGCAAGGAGCTCAAACCAGCCAATCCTAAAGGAAATCAACGCTGAATATTTATTGGAAGGACTGATGCTGGAGCTCAAATACTTTGGCCACCTGATGTGAACAACCGACTCATTGGAAAAGACCCTGATGCTGGGAAAGACTGAGGGCAGGAAGAGAAGGAGGCGACAAAGGATGAGATGGTTAGATAACATCACCAATTCAATGGACATGAATCTGAGCAAACTCTGGGAGCTAGTGAGGAATAGAAAAGCCTGGTGTGCTGCAGTCCATGGGATTGCAGAGAGTCAAACACGACTTAATGACTGAACAACAACAACTCTCCTGGGCTGATGTTCTGCTGTAGCTATTTCCTGAGGGTTGTCAGACATCATGGTGATGGGACATTTACTGCACAGTGGACATTCCTACTCTCAGCTATCTTGGGAAAAGCGAGATTGTCAAACAAGAAATGGTAATGTAGACTGGGCATTTAGGGGAGCTCTTTTCCCTTCTAGGTCTAATGATTGTTAGGACCTGTAGACCTGAAAAGCACAGACAAACCTGAGGGGTTTTCTATAGTGTGAAGCTGGAGGGGTGAGGAGGTAGGTGGCCCTGAACCTGAGACTGGGTCTGGGCCTCTGCTCTGAGAGAGCCATCTGCAGTGCCATCGGTAGCCCTTTTCAGTGAGGTAATTCCCTTTATTGTCCCAAATCTTCAATGGTGTCCTGTCAGGAGTTGCAGCCCGGCTTTGGTGGGGCTATGGGGAAGGTGTGCTCCATTGGCACTGAGGGGTGGATCGCAGGGGGAGGGCAAGCTAGTGGGTGGAGTAGAAAGATAAGAGAGACTTCTTGAGGCTACACCTTGGAGAATTATCTACATGACTGGGCAACCCAATGAGGGGTTCCAGTTTGAATACAAGGTCAGTGCCATTTCATCATTTGGGTAACAAAGGAAATGAGACCATATCTTACATCACCAGTTAGGGAGGCTGGGTGTGTTGATTCCACATGTATGAGAGCTCAACTAAGCTCCAGGCTCAGCAGCAGAGAGAACAGGGTGGATGAGAGAGAAGAGGACCACCTGGTCCATTAGAGACACACAGGGGCGTCCTTCCAGCTGGACTTTAAGTTGCCTCAGAACCATACAGCATTCTAGAATTTGTTCACATACATCCCATGCAAGCCCTTTTCTCCTTTTGCTGAGGAGCTGTAGAGAAACTGTGAGATAGAGGAATGAGGGGGAAAAAAAAGATAGGAGATCAAGGCGTAAAGAGGAAGTGAGATTGAGAGAGAGATTGAAATGGATTGATTAGGAAGAAACTGAATAATTTCAAGTGGGGAGCAGAGGGCACTCTAGTTGTAAGCCAGCTATAACCAAGTGGAATGTCTTTACCCTACTTAATGCCTAACTGGATTGAAGGGTAAAATGAACCGGAGTGAAGGATCCTATCAGAGATTCGTGAAGAGTGTGACACAGGCAGAGTAATAGGGAGCCAGAGGCTGATTTGCATAAGTGACTTTGCTGTAGGTGTAAATAGTCATATGTAACTTGTTGCAAAAAAGTTTAATGTAGTTTTTTCAATTATTCACCTGGGTAGTTGATGCTTCTTGGCATTTCGTAATTACTTTTAATCATAGCGGTTCATGGGGTCGCAAGGAGTTGGACATGACTGAGCGACTGAACTGAACTGATAGATTATTAAAATATTATAATCTATAATTTTAGCAAATGGTTGAATTGTTTCACAAACTACATGTTTTGTGTTTAAATTTTTTTCCTTCCTCTGCATCTCATTCACTCAAATCCTGCCATCCACAGACTGCTCAGTTTCAGCTGCCAACTTTGTTACGTGGTACAAGTCGGCATCACCCAGACTGAGAAGATGTGGTGATGCCCTCAGCTCACTTTATCAACTCTTCACACACCGTGTGATGCACAGCTTTTGCTGCCTTCTTTAGTATCTTCTGCTCCATTTTGGAGCACTTTTTGTCCTCTAGTATAACTTGGAGGATATGCAATAGCAAAGAAATGTGCAGCTGGACTGTTTCAGGAGAGGATGCTCTTGAGTTGAACGACAGTTGTTTCACTGTGGTAAGCTGTGTGTGGGTGAAAATAGGTAAGGCATAAAGTAACTGTATCTTGATTATCCCTTTCAGAGATATCCTTGCAAGGCTGGGAGAAGGATAATGGGATCTCAATGTTCTCATCTTTGTTAAGAGATAGCCATGCTTATGTTAACAAAATACAATGAAGGACAAAGCTTATCTACACATATCTACATTTTAAAACAGTGTCAATAAGCTATTTTTAAGCAGTATGGAATTTTCACATTTGAAATAGTGAGCAGGTCGTATAAATCATTATTATTCCTTATATAAACCAAATTGAATATTATATTCTCTCCTTTCCTGTTATTTTAAATTTTTTTCAAGCTTTTGGGTTAATATCAATAAACTTAGCTATTTACCAACACACTGG